GGTTGTAACATCCACAAAATTACTGGGCCTTACCATCTCTAATGATCTCAAATGGAACACTCATATTTCGAATACTTGTAAAAAGGTATCAACACGGCTATATTTTCTAAGTCAATTAAAACGTGCCAAATTGCCACCCAACGATCTGGTCCTGTTTTATATCACCTGTATTCGTCCAGTTGTCGAGTACGCGTGCGAAGTATTCCATAACTCGCTGCCGCAGTACCTGTCCGATGACTTAGAAAAACTTCAAAAACGTGCTTTTCGCATATAATTTTTCCTGATATGCACTACAAAGATGTCTTGGAGACCAAGAACATTTTGTCACTGAACGATCGAAGACAAAAATTAACAACGAAGTTGTTTAACGAAATAGCCAGCAACTCACATCATAACTTATACGACCTCCTTCCGCCATTAAATATTGACGATCATCTTTTAAGGAATCATAGAAATTTTGAACTTCCTGTGTGTAAAATGAACAGACTTAATGATAGTTTTATCATGTACAATTCTAATATATATTTTAGATAATCGATCGATTTGTTTTTTTAATATTCTTAAATGTAAATAGGGTTCATAGCATATATTCCTAATATCTTATATCTGTTAAACTTAGCGTAATTCAGCTGTGAAATTTTCTGAGGCTGTAAGTTCTAAAGTTCAATAAACCATCTATCTATCTATCTCTCGTACCCTGGGAAAAGCTATTCGCACTGCACGAACTGAACAAAAAAATTGGGAGAAAGAGCTTCAAAAATTCTTGAGAAATTATCGTTCCACACCTCATTCAAGCACAGGAAAATCACCAGCCGAGTTACTGATGGGTCGCCAGATCAAAACCAAACTCCCTGAAATGCCCACCTTATACCCCACTCAACCTGCAATCGCCAATAAGGATTCTGCTGCTAAACGCAAGATGAAATACCATGCAGACAAACAAAGTTATGGTAAACCAAATGAATTCTCCGTTAGAGATCTAGTTCTAGCCAGACAGGAAAAGAAGAACAAATTTACCACACCATTCCGAGCTGAACCGTTTCGAATCACCGAAATAAACGGGTCCATGATCACAGCGACGTCAAAAGATCAAATCATCACTAGAAAATCGTCTCATTTTAAACTTTTGCCCTCAGACATGGAATTGTCCGAACCAAGCGCGCCAAAAGAAAGATATGAGGGAGGAGAAGAGGAGAGAGAAAAAGAAAATTCCGAACTGAATGACCAAGCAGTCAACATGGACAGTCGTCGATATCCTGTTAGAAGTAGTAGAAACACAGAGCCAAATTACAAACCATAAACAAAGCGCTCTAACCAACTGAGCTACAGAATCCACTTGTCGTCATTAAACTTGTCGAGCTTTAACCACACGTAACCCAGGCCCTATTTGCACGCGCCCGCCTGTGACTTCCTTATTACGAGGGAGTCACAGGCGGGTGCGGGCAAATAGAGCCTGGGTCTCTGTGGTGTAAGGTATATGGGTAAATATCAGGATTTCAGGCATCTCGGTCGTTATTAAATGTTGAATGTACAGTGTACAGTGCAGGATGTATCAAAAAAGGTAAAACAATTTCGGCTTGTTATCATGCGTTATAGATCATAGAGATTGTAAATAACACTAGAGGGGGCATCGAGGGTGAAATTTGGGAGCGCGGTAATGGGGGCAAATTGAAATCCCGGATGAACACCACACAATTCTTGGGTTACACTTGAATGCAGAACAATTTAAAACAAGAGTCACAAAACTGGGTGTTTTATATGTTTTGCATGTCATTACTACAAACATTCCCCTAAAATTTTGAATTCAAAGATTAATTCCTCTTGAAAAGATCAAAATTGCTGACATGAGCATTATTTTGAAGCGCTCTCAAAAACGTGTTAGACAAAATTGAGGTAAAAATGCTTGGTAAAAATCAAAACGGGACTACTGCTGCCATAAACAAGAATTTAGAGATTTTGGCTCCAACTCGCTCTTATTGTTTGTGAACAATTGTTCATATTTAATGGCCCCGTTCCATTTCTTTGACTGAATTAAGATTACGATGCCTCCTCCAATGTTATTTATAATCTCTATGTTATAGATACTAAGTTTATAGATTTACTTTCCGCACACTAATAAAGATAGGCTTTTAGCTGCCAAATGACACCGTTTTTGTAGCATTGCGACGTAAAATGGTCAGGTACGATCCGATTTAAAGAGAACATTTACCTATAAATGCTGATTACATGTATTAACCAAAATAACAATAGATAATTGATTACCGCCGGCTGTAACAATCAGTTGTTCACATTTTCTTCGAGGCCTTAGATGTGAAGCGGTAGATGTGAAATAGTCTAATATAATAATAGTCTGTTCGTGTGTTATATGCAAATCAGTCTTAATGATTGCAGAGTTTTATAAAGTTTTGTTGACACTCTATTACATCAGCCACTTGTCGTACCAGCGACAACTAACGACCAAATGGAAACTAGGCTTAACTGCTACTGTTGAGACTAACGACCAATTCTAATTTTTAAGATTCCCGCGTGACTTAAAATATTCATATTAATTTTCAATACTTTATAGTATTGCAATATCACGGTCTTTTAATTGATTGTTAAGACCGGTGGTAATCAATGTAATGTTATTTTTCGTTTAAGTAAGTGAACATGCAAAGGCACTTTTCAGTTGAAAACTTCAATTTCTGTCGTTAAGAATTTGTACTGACCAGCAAGAAGGTTCTTTGTTTGTTCACTGTCATAGACATAACCAGGGGGAAGTTGATATGTGTGTCCAAAATTGCTGTATGATTGATTAACTTGAGGATTGCTACAAATACGCAGATCATTATTTCCACCAAAGACCGGTCCATAATCAGGGTAACACAAGATTGCTTTGTGCTCCTGACCTTGCTTGATGTTGGCAATAAATGGAGCAAGGTTGTCTTTGTTGCGTAGGGAGAATAAAAATGTCGAGTTGGAATGTATCCAAGCATTACCTTAAAGTTTAAAAAAATAGCTAATGGTTGCTATAAGAATGACTTCTGGACATACGATCGGGATGATTTTGACACAAATCGACCATCGTCATACGGGGCTGGACGAATTCTGAACCATACATACAATTTTACGACTATCACCTTATGCGTTCACATGGGACGCATGAAACTGGACAAATTCAAACACAGCTAACCTTAGGAATTCCCATGTAACAAATGGAACTCGACGAATTTGCGTATACGATTCCAAATTCGTCCGACCTTGTGCGAACATAGTCTTAAATATTATTAAACCAGTTTGGCACTGAGTTTGTAGGACAATTACATGTATACTTCTAAATGATGCTAATATCAATATATAATATAAATCTTATCTTACATACCTTCCCAGTTTTGGTCAGTGTATCCTCCAAAGATACAATTATTGGCTTTCACCAAAACCACTGTCGGTCCTTTATTGTCACAATGTTTGTGAAAATCGTGGGCACTCCAACCATCTCTGGAAGCTCTGTAACAAAGATTCCATTTACACTTCTCTCCCAACCATTTCTGTAGTTTTTTCATGAAGGTAATCTTTCCTTTCAAAATGTCGGAGTGGAAGTACCTTTTTAGATTATCAGTTGCAGAATCACCACCTACAGTAAACATTCAATAAAATGAATGAATTTTACTTTATAATAAACTACAAGGCAGAGAAGACCTTCACAACTGAATCACAAGATATCTGTAATCAACCTGAAGAAAATAAACATATCAACGTAATACAGTCTATAATGCTGTAAAATAAAATGTTCATGATACACTACTTTCCTTGTTATCCCTTTAAGCCAGAATGTACAACTTACATTATACAGTGTTTGTTATTTTAGCTTGTCAGGCTGCATTTACACTATAACGCTGCGGTTTCAGTTCTCAACATTTCTCAGTATTGTGTTTACACTATAACGGAGTGGTTCGCCGTTGCATACCAGGATCACTACGCATGGCATTCTGAATGACACGGATGCAAATCAATACAACACTGCGATAAATTTAAACGCGGCCTTATTGCCTAACACAAGTCGATTTTACTCGTCAACGGAAAGTGTTGGGCACTGGTGCCGTATGCAGGACTATTTTTCAATGTATACTGACCTGTTATGCCACCATGTAGCCTCCTCCATAGGCAACTCGGTGACCAAAGGCAGAATTAGACAACACTTATAAAGAAATGAAGGGGGTAATATTGGCCCCGCCAGGATTATATTTTGTGGAGGCAACCTAATACTAAAGGGAATCAGGAATTCAGGGGCATGCTCCCCCGGAAAAAATCTCTCTGAATCGGCATTTCCTTCATTGTGGAGGCACTTGGGAAAAATATATATTTCTTAATAAATCACTTTTTATAATAACTTAATTCATCAGAATTGAACGATTTAAAACTACATAAACTCTGAAAAACATTGGCTGGGCTAAGGAGGGGG